GACCTATTTCAAATACAATAACATACCGGGTGAAGCATAACAAGCGACATGGTCTGTAACCGGACACAGTATGTCAATGCGCCACCGGGAATTTTGCGGTATCCCGACCGGCTAGTTTACGCGTCTGTATGCCACCCGAGTTGTTTTCACCCGTTGCGAGCATACGCTACTGTTCGTTACTCCGGTTATTGTATCGCGATCTACTATAATATTCCAAATCATTATTTTATAATATACAATACTTATTTGTAATATCGTTATTGTGCTATGTGACAAAATAAATTATAATCCAATAACACATTGTACCTGTACTACTGTATCCCCTCTTACCCCCCCCCCCTCCAATCAAATCCGTAACGTTAACTAGAAATTAATTCTGCGCTCTTATACCCGTGCGCAAAGCCGGTTTATAGTGTGATTAAGAGAGCTATAACCCAGGACTAAAACCGATAACACTATACGTTCAGCCGGTTTATACCTAAACAAAAAGGGGTTTCCTAGACAAATTTTGCAATTGCAATTTTTTAACGATTATCTCATATTGATGATATAACTCACATAATTACAATTTTAAAAAGATCTACTACTGCTGACAGGTTCGTGATAATTTGTAAAGGTAGGATACATACGTACAGTTATCTATAATTTATATCTTCATATGTAAAGGTAAATCATTGCTAACGAAATAAGATTCTGAGCAAAGTTTGGTTAAACATGTTTTAAAATGCTGTGAATTTTATGATTTTCGTAAAAATTTGAACATAAAACGCTCATGAAAACAGCTACTAAATTACGCTCAACATTTTTTCATAGGTACAACTTATGATTAAGTTCGAGTAAAATTTTCAAACATTTCTGGTGAGGCAAAGTAATTATATTTCGTCTACATAAAAAACCAAACAAAAACAAAAAAAATTCTATCATTTCAGATGCCTATCAATAACTAAAAGATTGCCAGAATGTTTTGAAAATTGTATGACGCATTGATAAGGGCATTATTAATATTCTTTGAAAACTGCATGTTTCTACAATTATTACTAACCGAATTAAAATTAAAAATGTTCGCATTTTACTATAGGGATGATATCATTTTTTACTGATATCCGATACTCTGATGTATGCTACCGATAGCAAACCGATACCCGATATTCGATATTTAAAATCGAAACCCATGAGAATTGTTGAAATAAATCGATATATTGATTTAAAACCCGATTTTTTAATACTTTTTTCATTATTCAAAGACATAATAGACATTTTCCTCCAAAAATATCGAGTCAAATAACTTATGGGCTCTTATACCGGCCCACCCTTACATTTTGCTTACGTTTTTCTTAGTTTTTCTCCCAATAATCAAGAAAACAACCAGGGAAATCTAAAAAGGACTTCCTATTGCATTTATACTTAATAACATTTTTAGACGCTACACTTGAAAACCGGAGCAAGTTGTTTGGTAAAAAAGCTGTTTACAGATAAAAATAAAAATACTATAATTATAGTAATTAAAAACTTAAAACGTAAATAAAAACCTACCTACAATATTTAAAAACTATATAGGATAAAGATATTCGGTATAAAGGATAAAAGAAATTTTTTTTAAAATTTTTAGTAAAAACAAAACCGGAATACGGGTTAGATTTGGGCCAGTAATTTCATTAATGCTCGAGCGCGTCCAGCTCGTGAGCTCTGTCTATTCGTTTCGGATCACATTTGCCACAGTTACGTGGCGGCCGCAGACCCGCCGCTGTGCCGTAATGATAAATAGCCCGGTAAAACATTTGTTTCGGACGTTTTGCATGCTTCGCTCGCCCTCCCCTATATCGACCCGACCGATATAGACGCACGCTAATGCTTCGCATAAAACGTCCGTATATAATATCGTAATATAGTTTAGGTACCGGTAAGTTTGCGACTAACAATAATTTAAAACACAAATCGAACGAAATTATGAAATATTTAATACGTTATAATTAGGACTGGTATTCTAATGCACTTCGCTTTGTTTTCCAGAGCTTGCTGCTCGATCACCGTTTTGTTTAGAACTCGTTTCGTGAATTTTTGAACGAGAATAAGACATTTTATTTTACATTTTTTGATTATTTTGCATTTGTAAGTAATTGTTATTTTTCATTGTAGAAATTTTGAGGGGTGCTAAAGAGTTTTAAATTTGAAATTAGAATGTATAATTGCATTTTAAGAATTTCACATGCAAGTGAGGTTTTTTGTATATCTAAACAATTATTTAGTATTCGTATATTATTATATTATCGGACAGTATAATAAAGTAAAAATTTAATTAACGAATGACTCGGTTTGATATACGAATTCGTATTATAACTTTTGAGTGAGCATTTTGTATATTTGACTATTTTTTATTTTACATTCGATTTCAATTTGAGCGAAGCGAGAAATGTATTGGTTTCACAATGATGTTTATTTATTTTTTTTAATACTATGTACACAATTTCTATAAAAAAAATCTTATTTCGATTTTTAAGTGTTTTAATTTGTTTTAAGTGTTGATTTAAGGAGGTAATTTTTATTTCCAAGCGCTTTTCATAATAAACTGGGAAAAACATAGAAAAACGGGAAAATTTCAGAAAATTATGCTTTTATTATATCCAATTTTGTTTTTTTTATTATTATAAATTTTAAAATATTTTTAAAAACGTGAAATTTAAACAGAAAACTTATATTTTCTTTTTCTAAACATGGTTATATTTTCATAAAATTTGAGCCATTTCTGAGATATGTATAGACATTTTAATTTTGTGAGGTTTTTTACTTAATTTTTATTCGATATGTACTCTGTGAATAAAACTGTTAAACCAAACAGAAATGTTTGAAAATTTAACAGGAGGTTCATTAAAAGTCGTACTTTATGGTAATAAAAAAAAAAAAACGAAAATATTGAGATTAAAGTAGTATTTTATGTAAAGAAAAATTATAAAATTATAAATTGTAAAAAAAATATCAACCTTCATATTATACGCGTATTATGCGTTTTATAGTTTAAATCCAACGAAATGAATAATATTCGTACCTATTATACTGTTGCTATATATTTGTTTTGAACTAATTAAGTTACATTAACTCTGTAAGTATATCAGCGGAGTTTGTGGTAGTTTAAGAACAGTTGTAGCGGAGGGTGGGCAGTTAAAGTACTCACAAAAGCCATAAAGTATATTTTTGTCCTCTTTCCTCGTAGTGTTGATTAAAATTAACAAATTACCAGTCGGTTCTATTATAGTATAATAGCGCTTTATGGGTCAGATCTAATATCGAACATAATAAACGCATTATTATTTAATTTATAAAACAATCGATTTTGAAAACCTACGAACATGGAAACGGTTAACATTATTAATCATTCACTCAATTCAAATATATACATTTTATTATTATTATAAATAAGTTTTTTTTTTTAAGAATAATTATAATTATTATTGACTACGTTTTAAATTTTGAGTGTAACGGAGGATAATATAATTTACCATAATAAGACCTTGGGTGACTTATGGGTGTAAAATATAGCCGACAATCCCATAACTGAGGGAGAAGCTATTACTTTTTAATATTTTTATGAGGTTTTGACTGTGAATTATGACGTGGAAGGACAATTGCAGAGTTATAAGCCAATCGTTTTCAAGAACTACATTTTAGTTTTGTGTATTTTAGAAAAAGGTGAAATTTTAACCGTTTGATATATTTTAGATAGGTAAACAATAACGTCGGAATATATAATATTTTAGTTATGTAATAATTCCTCTACCTCTCCCAAACAGAACATTTTAATGAATTTGTATTTTTCGTTTTAATTTTATTTGGTTTGTAAACCACTCTAATACTATTAGGTAAGCATATTTTTATGTTGTACAGAATTGGCGTATTTTTTATTTATTTTTTGAATGTCGATGCATATTACCAGATCGTTTATATTTTGGGTCAGTTTTGGTGTAAATTGACTACACCCGAATTATTTATTGAATTATAATGTTCCACTACTTGAAAAATGTATACTTGTGTGATTTTTCGTTGATTTTAATTCACAGACCTCCTAAAATGCCGGCGTGTACAATGGTTTCTATTATTCATCAGTCGGGCGTTTTCAATCCCTTTAAGATACGGTTAGATGATTTTGAATCCTTATTAAGAGGTATTAATTATCATAAGATACAGTAATTAAATTCGAACAAAATCGTTTGATATAATGATGTTAGCTCGTAAAATTACATTGGGTAGTAAATTTAAATATTAATTACTCGCTGACTATTAGTTATTCAATGAGTTAAATCATATTCCTGTAATCGTAATTTTTATTGATTATAAATGTATGTTTTAAATAACATAAAAAATAATACATCACATGTATTATTTAAAATTATTTAAATATTAATTTGTACGACATTTAAGGAATCTCCTGTTAAGTTTTCAAGAATTTCTGTTTAGTTTAACAATTTTTTCCATAAAGTTCCTATCAAATACAAATTGTGTACAAAACTCGCATAATTATAATATCTGTAATTAGCTCAAAAATGAATCAAATATTTTGAACATTTTACCACGTTTACAAAAAGAAAATATATCGTTTCTGTCCAAATGTCAAGTTTCTCTGAATATTTTTCACTAAATTACAATAAAAAAAACAAAATTGAAAATAATAAAAACATTATTTTTGTAAATTTGTCCATTTTTCCTACGTTTTATCCAATTTATTATGAAAATCCTTGGAAAAACCAAAAAAATAACGTCCCTATAGTACCACTCCAGAAAAATTCCCTTTCGGAAAAATTGTTATACTTGATACTCCGGTGCAAGAATTCTGGTAGAAGTTTTGTACGTGCTATACAACAAAAATATACATCATTGTAAAACCAACGTATTCCTGACTCCGTTCAGAATCTAAAATTGAAAGCTACATAAAAATGTGATACTGGAGACGGATAACGAAGTGTATAAGTTGGATGGAAAAAAAAAAACAAATGAAATAGTGCCAGCTGATGTTGTTGGAGACCGGAGAGAAACACAGTTCGATGGAAATGATTAAAAGACGTCAACGAAAAACGATTGGACGCACAATAAGACATTCGGATTATGAAGTATTATTTAATATATATATATATAATATCATTATAAAATATATGATCGAGGAGAAGAAGATGGCAGAACGACCTAGCTACTCATTCACGAAACATTTAAAGGAGCAGATGTTAGCTGTCTCGTATAAATATCTAAATAAAATACCTACTTTCGTTTTTATTTCTATTCGTCGATATTTTTCTATTTTTTTGTAAGAGCATCTTAACTGAGACATTATAAATAATTAACACACCAAAATATTTGAAAAAAAATATCATAAATATGTTAATAACATTTGTAATAGATTGCATTGGTATACTTTACTTCTTAAGTCTTGTATATATATATATATATATATTCCTACTTATTTATAAACAAAAACTTTTAAATATGTTAGCCCAAACCAATTTTAACCGAGACAAAAGAAAAAATTACATTATTAAAAAATTGATAGATTTGTGCAGATTAAAATTTACAGATAATACGAGAATATATATATTATGTAACTAATTCAGAAAAATGTGAAATTACGCAATTATCGATAAACACGATAAAATTTGATAACAATAATGTACTGATGATATTACAACTGAATGTGTTTTAATTTTGTACATTGTATCGATTTGTTATGTTAGGAAGAAACTACAAAAGTTTCGTAACATTTCTCGTTAAAAGGATTTTTCGGAGGGTGGGAATTTTCTATAATAGTTTTAAAAACATAATTGAAAAGCTGTGTGAAGCCGTTTTACAGCTGCAGCACAACTACCGGTTTTTAACAAAATTGATTTTGGTTTCTCGTTGCACGGCGGCCACCGCCATGAGACATATTCATCATATACCTAACCACTATAGAGACTTGATATTTTTATAATTTATTTTATTGTTTTATATATTTTATAGACGTGAAAAATAAAATGGACTATTGTTTTTTTTTTTTACGTCCTTGATTAGAATTTTAAATAACAAATATTTGATTTTTTTTTTATTTATGATTGATTTTTAATTTTAACAAAACGAAGATTTGAGGGGACGTTTCATCACGACTTGTTACCTACAGCTTTCAACTTCATTACAATATAAGAAAAAATCTAACGGTAAATCAGAAGTGTATTAATATAATATCTTGTTTTCAATTTTATCTTGAACGACTGCACTTATGTATATTGATGATAAGAAATCTTGCCCATAAAAGCATAATATTTTAGTAGGTCAAATTATTTTTATTTTTAGTTTATATTCTTTTATGTGTATTACAGCAATTGAAATCCGTAGAAATGTGTTTTTATGCATAGTTTTACCCGTTGATGGAAAATTGCGTCTTTAAAGTCTTTTTCATTGCGTTGTACTTTGTATCTTCGTTTTATACAAAAACTAAATTTTTGTTCATAAGCTTTAAAAGTTTTAATTCGGTTAATTATCCAGACTATAACCAGTTAAATAGTTTTTATTGATTCAAATACAAAAGTCTAGCTACATTTACAGTCAATCTGAGATTAGTTACAGCTCTATTTTAACAATGGAGATAGATAACAAGGAGCACTAATAAACACGGCCAACGCAGAGTCAAAGTCAAAAAAGTTATGGGAAGAACCCGTAGCTAAACAACTCAACATTCCTAACAATATTCTTTGTTCAAGCGCCTATAGGCCTTCATTTTTCAATCACAGTGACTTTATCTGACTCGGCTCATTGATCACTCGGTAATTGAACAATAAACATACTCCGTATAACCCATTCGTGGCCATTTCTCATGGCGTGTCATCGCACACATTATAATAAAATTAATACACTTCATACTACCCGTATTATCTAAAATTAAATATTGTAACTGCAACAAGTAGGTCGGTGGAAAATTTGACTCGTGACGGAGCTTTGTTGCTCAATGGTGTTACTTTTTCAACAGACATATTTAGAAGTCTTTAATATTTACAATCAATATTTAAATATTAATAGTATTTTTACGAAAAAAAAAAAAAAAAAAACTGTTGTTTTATGTCTAACCCGATTATCAAAAGAAAAGTTTTTTTTATACATAGTTTTTAATAACAATGATAAAAATATTATACAAATTAAATTTACCTCATAACGATGAAATCACCTCTACAATAATTGCACTTGCTAATTTAATGATGTTACTTAAAAGAACTTTGCTCAGAATGGATTTTCGTTAGGAAAACTTTACATTACGTTTCGTTGAAATAATAATATGATGAATTAACTTGTCAAATTTTCAAACTATTATCACTATTAAGTTATAAAAATATTTAACATATATTTTAATAGCATTTTAATCTTACATATAGTATATTGTTATATACTACAGTTAAAGAGTTAAAGGATACGTTTTTAACAAAAAACGCTTTGATATGTTTGTTTTTTAAATATCAACTTTGGCTTTTTTAAAAGTATTTTTATACCAGTCTAATTAAATACATGGTTCATAACATGACCTAACCTCTTACATCAACAATCATAATTCATAACTGATCTCCCGTACCAAGACAAACAAAAAATTAGAAATATACATATATACATCACCAAGATGTAGAAAACATCTTGTGATGCAATACCAATAACCAATAAACTTAAAGAAATAAAAAAAGAACGTAAAAAAATGGCACACCATCCCCAATACCTTTCGACGCATAAATGTAATAAATGCAAGAATAAAAATCGGACATACCGATCTCACAAATATATATTTAATCGATATTGATACTAAAATTTCAAAAATCAAATAATTAATTACTTATAACGCAGCATATTATAATTATTAGAGTATTTGGTAATTTATAAATAATATTACTATAATGCAGAATAGGTGGTTAATTATCTATACATAATAGTGTTTTTTTTTTATGATTTGTGAGGCAAGAAATGTATTAGTTTTATTATCATCGTTTTTTTTTCTGTGTCAATTTTCAAGTGTAGTGTTTTTTCTGAAAGCAAATAGAATGTAATTGGTGCATTGACAAAGTCATTATTTGTAGTTTTCTTAATAATTGCGCAACATTGGGATAAAAGTATAGGAAAACCTGAAAAATGAATAGCGATAAAGGTTTCATTATTTTTGATTTGGTTTTAATTTGGATAAAAATAATTTTAGTGACCTAAAATAATTAGACGTTCGAATTATTTATAGACGTAATAATAATTTCAAAACATTCTGAAGATTTTTTGAACAGCTATTTGAACTATTTAAGCGTTTGGATTTTTTTATTTTTATTTTAATGTTATTTGGATAAGATTGCTTGAACATTAAACAAATTTTATTATAAATTGTATTTAGTAATAACAAAAAAAAAAAAATGAGCTTAATCTTGTAGTTTATGTTTTTAACGTTCAAATTTTGATGGTTATCATAAAAATCACAGCATTTAAAAATATGTTTGAATTAATCTCACTCAGAATTATATTTCGTTTTTTTTTTTTTTCTACTAATCATCGAAGATTGAATATTTGTATCTTGATTGATATGCATGAGAGTTGTGCGGGAATATCAAATTTATTTAAAAGGTCGCGGTTAGTTCGTCAAGAATAATTTATTTATGACTCCATCGCGTGGACCACTAGTGGCACGGTGCAAGTCCATCATGTTTTGTGTTTTCTCGTTTTAACGATTGATTAATCGTTGGGCACGTCGAATACGCCAAAGGCTAAAGAAGGGATGGATGGGCGGGAAGGTGAGATTGGGAATAGGGGGTTAGGGGTAGACACGAGGGTTGATGTTGCAATTATTTGTTTTTCGCCGCCACCGATCGTATACATAATATACAAAGTACGTTGCTCGCACACGCGTGACCTACATTTCGAAAAACCTCAACTTACTATAGTCAGGTACCGTGAAAGCCAACAAAAAATGCTGTTGACATAATAATTCACGAGACCGTCAATAATTATTTACTAGGTGACTTTTAAAATATTATTATTATTAAATATTATTATTACAAACAATGCGCGGAGCATTTTTGTTTGTATGTTATAATGTTTCTATTATATTCAACACGGAACAATTAAAAAGTATAAATAAAGAATACTATATTTAAATACGACTCTTATATGTTTAATAAAGTATAAATAAAATGTAACAAATAATTCTAATTGTGTCCAAATATATTATACGCAAGTAAATTATTTCTAAAATCACTGTGTTAGCTATTTTGCTTCTGGGGTGGATTTATCACAAATCATTCTTAAAAATACTTACGGTACATAATGTACTAATCGTAAATATTTCAAGTTTTTATCGCCGGCGATTTAGGTTGAGCTTTGATTCTCAGTCAGTCAATCAGGAAAATTTAGCTCTTGTAATAATATATATAGGGATTAAATATGGTATTGTGTTATAAATTAATAATTTTAGATTCAGAATATAGTGAGGGATCTATTAGTTTATTTAGGTACAATGTATTGTTTTTTTTTTTTACATATTTGCGAGCAACTTTCCGATTAAAAATAACTTTCTTCTTTCAAAATATGATTCAAGAACTTTTTTTATTGCATTTTGGATTTAGCTGGTGAATTGAAGAGTAATTATTTTTGTTTTCCAAGAAGTTTTTATAATAATTGGGAAAAACCAAAACCAAAAAAAAAAAAAAAAAGTAGAAATAACAAGAAAGTTTACGGAAATAATGGTTAAATCATTTTCAATTTTGTTTTTTTTGTTATAATTCAGTTATAAATATTCATCAAGTTTTACATTTTTTGTAGACAACTTATAATTGCCTTTTCTTCACGCGGTACAATTTTCAAAACATTTTACTGATTTTTGAACTATTAATATACATTTTATGTTTGCTATTTAATTTTTTTTCTGATAGGTGCTATGTGGATATAATTTCTTGACTGAATAAAAATGGTTGATAATTTAATAGGAAGTTAATTATAAGTTATACTTAGTGGTAAAAAAATTGAAATTGTAATTCTTTGATATTTCTGTAACTATAATATTTTATTCCACCTGTAAAACAATCAATTGGTATCACTGACTTCTTGACCTTATCATGTCATACGGTACGTGTCATTTTGGCGTTATCATAGTAATCTAGAAATGCGGTACCGTATACTATTGTTCTAGTTCGTTTGTTGTATCAGTTTGTTGAGTTAATGTTTTATAGCAAATAAGAAATTCTAAAGTTTTTGAATTCAACATATATTATTTATTTGCAATTGACCAATTCGGTTTTCTAGTTCGATTATTATAGTGAGAATGGCTAATTTATAATGATGTAATTGATTTTCTAAGATTTTGAAGAGCAATTTTATTATTGAGTTGTAAATTATTCGCATATATTTATGGAAATGGTTTCAACTATTCTTGTTTTTAGTTTGGATAATTGGAAGATACGTCTCCAAATTTGGTTTGTTTTATGTATAGGCAGCTTATTATTCTTTACTCAATTCAAAATCGCTGATATACAATGGCATAGAAAGTAATATGTTAGGTCTACTGCAAGTAAATATTAAGGGTTTATACCATGGTACGTACTGGGGTTCATACTAATAGGTTTGTACCCCATATTGTGATTCCTGGAAGGAATATTTTCTCGCTCGCGGTTAATGTATTGGAAATAGTTCACTTATGGAAAGTATTCTGTAGAATTTCAATGGCTTAGCCGAAATTTCTAAATAGGGGGGGGGGGGGGAAAAAATCCAAAATTAAATATTTGTCTGTTAACTTTGACCTCCCTAAAGTGTCTCCCCAGTCCGATTTCCTTTCAGAAAAGGTGCTACGCTTAAAAATCCGAGCAAAATTTCTGGTAGAAAATACTTATCCACAGAAAAAAAAAAAAATAACATCTTTGTAAAACCATAAGCTTCTTCGCTTCATTCAGAATCTAAAATACAGTCAATAGGTGAAGGGTGTTGGATTCCATTCCCCCTTCGCTATGCTATTGGTTATACAGAACTCAACAATATACAACAAAATTCGTATAGAACATTATTATATTATGTAATATAGTGATTTGAAGCGAACTATTGCAGAGTTCGGGTACATAAATATTTGCTCTTCTCTGCCACGTCGATTTACACCTCAACACTAGGCAATTCTATATGGTATACAATAGTTTACAATATATTGAATGGTATAAACCGACATGCAAACCTATGCATTTCGCACAATACCAATACATCTATTTCAAAACTTCCGGAAATTTTATATAATAAATTCTGTTTGTGTATAACAGGTAAATGTAATACGCGCGTATACAAAACCATTCAAAGGTTCGCGCAACAATAATTTTTAAGCATACACTCATTATATTTAGGTATACTTATAACGAAGAGAGAGGTAAACAATTTTATGTTGGATGTACCATCGAGAAACTTTAGTTTTACAAATATGTGTAATTTAGTCTATTAGTATATTAATTAAACGGAAGTGTTTGGCTGTCTGTCTAAGCGTGATTTACAACCGATTCTACCGAAAGCAGAGGGCTGAAAATGTCCATAATGAAACAGACGAACAAGTCCGTGTGCAATGTACACGTCTCGATTTCTACACTAAGGGGTTTTTTTGTTTTTTAGTATGTAAAAGATAACTAATTAATTATTTCTTCGTTAACATTAATAACATGAATTAAATAATATCAATAAACTCTTCTCGTACCCCCGTTACCATTAGGTAATTGAGTTTTCACTAGTAAGAAAATACGACAATAGTTTAGTGTGATATAAGAGGGAGATAGAATTCCCTAGAATAGGGAATTCGTCGTGATGCATATATATTATTGATTTCGGCTTTTGAGTGGATTTTTAAATTCGCTTTTATAAATTGGTTAAATTGGCACGACCAACGTCGGACGCTTGTAAAAATTTATACATTTAAACAAAAAACCGCATTCTCCGTAATTTACTATTTTTAGAATTTCGAAAACTTCAATGCAAAAATAGACATTTCTAACAGCGATAATCAGCCGTTACGATATAATGCATGTTTATGTCATATAACTTCTATTTCTACGTAAACAAATATTCGAATAAATTAACGCACATTAATGTAACTAAATCTAACAAAACAAAACTATGAATACGAAAATACGAAACCGACATAATACTTCTCTGTACGCGCGAGAGACTAGTTTACCGATTAGTTTTCGTTTTCCCGCTAAGGAATAAAGTAAAGCTTTCATTCTATAACAACCAAAATACCAACTGCTCTGCTGTAACATAAACATGAGTTTAGAGTTTAATTGATATTTTACTCGAATTTCTTGTCAGTAAACTTTGTAATTTTCCTACAAAAATATTTGAAAATATATTTTATCCATACGGTTGTATTTTAATTTGTTTTCTTTAGTTGGACTCAGATGGAGAATACAGTAAATCTAATATCTTCAAGGTGATAAAGTACTACTATTCCGAAACGTCAGATGATACAATTGAAAAAGTAAACGACGTGTGTTACAACGAAAGTAAGGCATCCCATTTTCTATTTTTTTCGCATAAATCCCAATTCTCAATTATTCATAATTTTGTATGATTAATGAATTACCACAAAAAAAAGCAATCGGTACTATAAGAATATTTTAACTGGGAACACCACGTTAGCATTACTTCTCCTCGGCCAACACTCATAATGTTGATATCACGATAATATAAACGGTTGTGCGACGACAAAAAATATTTGATGTAAAATGTTCTAATCGAAAACCTCTGAGACTGTATTTTCTTAATCTATGGTTTTGGGTAATACCATGCCGTAGTATGAATTTAATAATATTGAGTTTAATAAATGATTAATAAAAATAGATAGAAAACAAAAAAAAAAAAAAATATTGCACAAGTTGAAAAATGTTCAATAATATAAGTTTATATGTTTATGTATATACGAATTTTGATATCTTTTAGATTTCGAGAGTAGCGATGGTTTTACCATTTCATTTTTTCTTTTTTCTATGTTCTAGTCTGTGGACACGTTTTTTCTCAGTAAACTTGGTTCGATTTTTATGTGTAGCAACGTTTCTGTATGCTCAAGTTGTCTAAATTGTTCATTACACAAGTCATTTTTTTGATTTTCGATGAAATATTTTTTTGAAAAAAAAAGCACTAAGTGGGAAAAAACTTAGGAAAACGTACAATTTCACGATTTCATTATTTCATAAAAACACGGATGACGTTTTCTACCAGAAAAATTAAATTAATCGCAAAATCACAAAATATCTTTTTTGTTGTCTATTTGATTTACTTTCTAATTATCATTTCCAAAAATTTTAAGCTTTTAAGGAATTTTAATTATTGAGAGTTCTTTTGCTGTAATTCGGTTAGAAACATACGTAGAGAATTGAAACTTGGTAATAATAATTATATTGGATTTACCTAGACCAGGTAAAATTTCCAAAATCATCGAACGACTTTTTTTTTTTTTTTATATGCGTTTTGAAATCAAACATAAATGAAAATCTTAAAAATTATTTATAACTGAACTGCGCTCTGAATCGCCTTTCGTCAAGCAATGGTTTATCGTTGCTTACAGATATAAATGAAATAACCTTGTGTATACTACCCTTCTTACTTCTCACCTACAACAGTAGCCGCTCCCATCTCCAGCATCAGCAGTTTTATTCTTTCACTTCTGTGCATTTTTAACAGTTGAAATAATACGCGCAGTCTAGGTCTATACCTACCGTTGTAATATGTAATTCCACAGTAGTTCGTCTGAAATAAACTGGGAGTGCTAACGGTAAAAAGATTTTTAATTAGAACATTTGGAACCGTTATTCTCTGCAGCATAACATAAGCCGACGTAAATCTATTTCTATAGCCGTGATAAAAACGGGAAGTGATTATTAAATTTTAAAATAAAAACGAGTATTAAATGATATCAATGATAATTTGGAAATTAAATTTATTCAAAGATAAGAATAATTATTCTAATAAATTGCATTCAAGTATTAGATTATCCATCTTATAAGTATTATGATTTAGCGATACTCTAATACTTTCAAATCTAGATTTGAACAAAATATATTCATAAAATGTGTAACGTGCATAATCATAATTTTTATTCAATTTTCTAATGGATTTTTCAATAGTTAAATTTCCCATAATTTTTGTTGGCAGCTTTAAAAAACACACCACCTTCTGAATGGGGGACCAACGAATATCACTACAAAATATGGAAGTGTTTGAATACTCAGTTTAAAGAGGTGAGTGGTTCATCTTCTAATAAAATACGACTGATAAATTATTTTTTTTATTTTTTTCAGAATGGTATGTTGCCAACTTAGTTTTATTATAACGTTTTTTAGATGAACGGGTGGTATCAAAAAAAAAAAATAATAATAATAATAAAATCGAAGTTTATCAATTTTACTACTGGATTGCTGTAAAGTTTTAATTATTGACTATTATAATAAATTAGTATTAACATGCTTTAATCCGATTAACTACTACGCCTGTTATTATGATATTATTAAACCATACAAACTAATAATGTTTTATGATAATATCATATTTTATTAATTTATTTTAATGTTAAATAAAATACTGATTTGTGCGTGGCATTATTACATAATATATCCTATATAAAATAATGAATTTTGATTTTTTGACTTTCAACAATTTTTCCTCGGAATTGAAAATATCGTTACTCTAATTTATAGTTAAATATATAAGATATTTGGGTACAAGGAAAAAAGAGCTTTAGTACATTTTTGGAATTTTAACAAATATATGTTTTTGGGTTAGGAGTCTGTCGAAAATTATTGACATACTTTCATTGCAATGCGAAAAAGTATAGCTGTATTTTCTTTAGTAACAATAACTACATTATTAAACATAACACAAATTATATATCATTCTGTGTTTTTCTGTGTAGCCGAAAAATTGAACATTATTCAACATTATCAATTGAACAAAGTAACTTATAATTTCTACATAACAAGTAACGAAAATTATTTATTTATTTTACCTTAACGGAAAAGCTCAAAAACAAATAAATAAGAAATACATTTATTAAATTTATAAGAAAGAAATGTTCGGGTTGGCGTCACGTATGAGGCGGAGAATAGAAGAGTTAAAAGAGTAATTATTAGACGACAGTGGGATAAAGAAAGGCAGGGAAGAACGGGTATGACAGAGAGGAATCGTTTAAAGAAAACTGTTATAATAATTAAGGTGAATCAATTTTACCGGAAATAAGTTTAGAGGGAAAAAGGCCGTTAAAAAAGTGCCTGCGGTTAGATAGGTTAGTCAGGTGTCATTCTAGGAGGATGAAGGAATAATCGTGAGGAGGATGAAGAATATTGAAACTGGAAGTGACTAAAGTGAGAAACGTACGTTGGATACGCTCAATTATCCTACTGTCACACAGGATGAAAGGGTCACAAAGTACGGATTTGTATTCCAGGATAGAACATACGGGGAGCAAAAGAGAGATTTGAAAGAAACAAGGAAACGGAATTGTTGAGGCTTTACAGCAAGAAGTTTCAATGTGTTTGAGGTGAAAAGAGTGAGAAATAAATACTTTCCAAGATAAACTAATCTGTAATGATTAATGGTAGACCAAAAAAAAATAAAATTTTAAATAATTTTCCAGGAATTTGTTTAGGGACGACAGATGTTAAAAATTCCCTTCCACGTGAACACTGTTTTAATCGGGCCAAACATTTTTACTGCTTTACGTCTCCTAGCATACTATATTATTATAATGCAAGAGCGCGCTTTTTCTCCGTGGTACAGGTGCATTCTCTATTCTAATCAAATTTTGGATTAACATAATAAACAACATTGCGTATTATAGCTGTGCGTGTAACCTGGCTCTACCGTTCGTATACATTTAAAAAACGGCTCAATCGCATACACGCGGTATTAAAATATTCTCGTGGGCATATACATATTGAAATCCACTCCTATACAATACGCGTTGGCTAATCGATCCTGTTATTTGATATAATAATAACAATAATACATTTTGCCGAATCAGTTCGGCCGTGACTACGAACAAACGTTTCTTTTTCGTTTATCACGATCTAGTGATTATATAATTTATACAAATATTATATTACACACACAAAGTTTTTTTTTTTTTCAGTCATTTAAAAATTGTATTCACAATATTTTCTGAATATAACCCGTAACCCGTGCATCATACACAACTATTGACTTTTGATTTTCAAATACATCCCCTTTTTCAACACAGATACCGGAGAGAAGTTTACTGAGTATGTTTCATAGAGTTATCGTCTAAAAACGATGGGCATTAAATATATTATGCTCTTTTTATGGAGTAATACATTTTAATCTAGGATATTTACGAAACGAAATTAAACCGTTCAGTACAATTCTGATTTAAGGACCGACAAATAGAAAAAAAAAAACACCTCAAATTGACACTTTATTCAAAATCTTTGGAACGGTAGGGGACAAAATAATCACTCTGTATTATTTTTTTCGTAACCCAATTACAATATTATTTTAAATTATTTTCGTAAATAGTTATTTTCACGGTCGGCGTTTTCGACCTTTTGATGATTTCATTAATTACTTAAAGGTATAATTACAATATAATTTCATCAAGTTCGATTAATATTATTAATTTCAGTTTTTAATTATTACCTCTACATTCTCGGTTTATTAATTACTATAATATAGTGTTTACATAAATTACTCTTCATATTATTATATTACGTAACGAAATCGAGTGCGTAACATTTTATCGGTTCGGCTTATATATTTACCTAACTAAAATAATATTTTGTATCGAACATTAGCCTACTCATGCGCTGGAAACGTTATCGAAACGAAACACTTAAAGGTATTACACGAACCATTTAAATCTTTACCGTAGGCGGTACTAGACCTTTTTGGCAGGGATAGGAGCAAAAAATATTTTAAGTAAATTGTTAACACTATTTTGCTCAAATTTTTTTTTTTAAACTGAAATTTATATATTTTGTTAGTTCTAAGAATATAAATTATTAAAAATAATTATAGGAATTTTAAAAGTTTATAATTACGTCATATATATTACCGTACACATTATTCAGGTATATATTATTATTATAGATATTTTACATGATTTCAAAGGTGAAAGATTCACCTTAATCTTAATGTTTTGAAGCAGAGTTTCCCATCCATAGACCACCGGTAGTCCGTGAGACGTGAAATGTTTCGCGAGAATATAACTACATATATTTTTTTTATAGAATAAACGTGAAGCGATAATGATTGTCACAGTTTATTACGGCGTTTATTGTACATAACTTCACTTATGATTTTATTACTTAACTACTCATTAAATAAAATAAATAAATATCAATAAATAAAAGATACTGACATACATTCGCACTATGAGTGAGCCACTATTGTAGATGAGATATTGAGGAGGTAGACTATACCACCTATGAACTTAAAATAATATTATTATCCCCTGTTCAACACTGAGTATTCTATTTAATTCTTAAGAGGACGTTATAACTATATCTACTGTCTCAGTCCAACTAGCGGGTAACATACAAAAACAATGCTTAAGCAGAATAAGTAAAACTAGCTTAATTTTGATTTTAGAGTAAAATTATAGATTACAAAATTTATAAAAAACAATATTTTGAAGGTAACTTCACAGGGGTTTTTTGAACTAAGAATTTTTTTAAAAATTTACAGTTATTTAAAAAGCAAAAAAAAAAAAAAAGGATTTTATATCTTTTAAATCGAGCTGTAATTATCACTTTTTGAGAATCATTTTAATTTGCTTACCTCCTGAAATTTCACCTATGGGCACCCATACTTCATTATGCCTCAATTTTATTTAACCTTCCCGGAGGGGCAGATATATTAAAGACGCCAGACAAGGATCAGCTATTCAGCAAGGGTTGTGCAGCTTGGTGTAACTCGACGTCAAGAATACTTTCAACATGGCCTCTGGGACCGTATGGATGCGGCTCTATGTAACGAGATAGTACCAAATTACCTTGCCCGCATCCTATGGTCCTACACAGAGAACCGTATCCTCACCATCTGGCTTCATTTCTGTTTGGTCAGTTATGAGCTTTGTTCCCCAGGGCTTTATCCTTGCCCAACCCTGTAGAATGTATTCTACGATGATCCTTTGGTAAAGTCCCAAAGGGCGTTTAATTAATCGGTTTAATGCCTGTACTTATTTGTATCCGGAGGACATAATTTAAAAGTCGAATCTAAAGAAGCAAATTTGTATAATAAATCAACTTTTTTTGTAATTTATAATGATAAAATTAATAAATTAATACTCTTCATTTTTGTATTTTTTGGACAAAAAAGTGGACAAAATTACCTCTGCTCCTGCGCACGCTACTACATACACACGTATATTTTGTTGCAGGGATTATATACTGCGGAACAAGTTGATGACTACGCAAAACTGTGCAATGCCAGTGAAGGTAAGTAATGTTATTTTCTAATAAGAATTTTGCTCATAGGCGGCAGTTTAGAGTAATGAAGCACTGTTTATAATACCTACTTATAACCACTATATTATTTTCCAATATGTTTTTATCAAATTCCGAAGAAATTTTAAAAACTTTCAAATTCTTATTTAGAGGATCTATAGCTAAGCACATTGTATTTTGAACGCACATTAGAATTAATCGATATATTATTTTTCGTATTTAGAGGAAAGTGACGTATTCAAAAATTACAACGTACTATCAACAGAATCTGGAAAGGTAATTTTAACAAAATTTGATACCAAAGTTTATTTTAAACTTTTGATCATAGCATATTATTAAATAGAATAAACTATTGAACTAAGTTTTCTGTTCAAAAAATTGTTTACAGACAAAAAAAGATACAAGTAAATAATAGTAATACCAATAAATCCCTTAATCCGCTCCAAATCAAAAAAGTTATATCAAAATAGTAATTAATTTATACCTACCTACAACTAGTCTGTATATTATATATAGCATATAAAGGGAAATCATTAACTATACAACTATTTTGCTTATAAATGTGGCTTAGGTTTTTTTTACAAAATATTTCCAAATTCTTCGTAACCTATATTTTTTTATATACTTGTTTTAGTCGTTTCTCGAAGGATATAAATAATTATACTAACCTTAAAACTTTGCTGTATCTATCTATGTTGTTTTCACCAAACGAAAATTATTTTTAAGTTCACACATATGAAAGAACCTAATTAAAAATATTTTTTTCTAGATTTTCATTAAATACAAAGCCGATGATCTCGGAATGGTCATTTTTTCTACAAACAAAATTTAAAAAACAAAATTTTATCCATAGGAGTATATTTTTATTTGTTTTCTTTAGTTAGACTCTGATGGCAAATACACTAGATATAATATTTCCGAGATGGCAAAAAAGTTCTTTCCCGAAACAGCATTGGATACAATCGAAATAGTAAACGACATATGTTACAACGAAAATAAGACATCCTTTTCTTTCCCGCATAAGTCCTAATTCTCAATTATTCATAATTTTGTATGATTAATGAATAAATATTAAAAAATCAATCTATATTATAAGAATGTTTTAACTGGGACCACTTCGTAAACTTTACTGACCCTGGTCAAAACACATGATATTTCTATCGTGATAATATGAACGGTTGCGCGACGACGAAAAAATATTTGACTGTAAAACGTTCTTATCGAAAACTTCTAGGTCTGCATAATATTAATCCATGGTTATAGGAAATAGCACAGCATGAAGATAAATCTGTTCAATAAAGTTGAGTTTAACAAATAATTAATAAAAATAGCTATAAAACACGCAAATAAATATATTAAAAAATAATAAAAATAATATCGCATAAGTTGTAAAATGTTCAATATTATAAATATAGTAACTAAATAAATTATTAAATGCGTCGCCTGGAGTACTACGATTAGTGTATGATCGATTTCGAATTCAAAATCACAGTTAAAATGTAAAACACGATTACGAGTATTCATTTTTTAATAATTTAGTTTTTACTTTATTAATTTATTATTCAATAATATAAGCTTGCGTACCGTAATACTTTATGTATAAACCAATGTTGACATTTTTTTCTTTCAATTTTATGTACTCTTAACTGTTTAAAAAATACACTGGGAGCGCTAATGGTGTAGAGGTTTTTGATTGGAATAATTTTTGGAACCGCTATTCTCTGAAGCATAACACAGACCGTTGTGCAACAAACTATATCTATAGCAGTGATGTAAACGGAAAGTGGATATTATATTTGATTGAAAACGGGTATTGAATGATGTCAATTCGAAGATAAGAAGACAAGAATAATTATTCCAATATATTGCGCCCAAGTATTAGATTACCTACCTAATAAGTAGTATGTTTTAGCAATACTCTAACATTTGCATACATAGTTTCGCACAAAATGTATTAAAAAAATGTTCAACGTACATAATCAAAAAAAGTATTGAATTTTTTACCGGATTTTACAATTAGTAAATTGCTTATAATTTTGTTTGCAGTCTTAAATACAACATCTTTTACTGAATGGGGGACTTGCGATTGTCTCTACAAAATTTGGGCGTGTTTGAATACACAATTTAAAAATAGTAAGCGGTATTTTATTTTCCAATAAAAATACGACCGATAAATAAATATACTATTTGTTTTTCAGTATGGTATTATACCGTAGCCGTTGGTACAGTTTTGTTGTTACGTATTATGGGGGAACGGGCGGCACCGATGAAAAACTAAATGAAAGTTTATTGATTTTACCTACTCAATTGCTGTCAAATTTTAATTATTGACTATTACAATAAATTAGTATTAACATGCTTTAATCCGATTAACTAATACGCCTGTTACAATGATAATTTTAAATAATGTTTTAAGATACTATTATATTTTATACATTTATTGTAATGCTAAATTCAATACAGATTTATAAGTACAGTATATTATACAGTATAATTTTGTAGCGTAATGTACCCGATGTTAAATAATTACTGCGTATTTCCTTAAACCAATCTTTTGGCTATCAAAAATTTCCCGTCGAAATTTAGAATTTCATTATTTTTATGTTTTGTTTCTAATTATGCACATACGGTGTCTCTGGTCCCAAAGGAAAAAAGCTTAAGACAATTTTTAAAATACTAACACGAATATGGTTTTGAGCTTTTGGCCAGTCGAACAATTTCGTTATAGTTTTATTGTAATGCGAACGATTTTACGCTGTAGTGGTTTCTATAGTTACAAAAATTAAATAATTAAACTCCCAGGTTCTATGTGTTTTCATGTAGGGAATAAAACAAACAAGTTTTTACTATAATCGTGTTAATACACGATGTAATTACACTTATGCAATTGTTTCGCCTTACGTATGCGACCTAAATATGTTCCATTTAAATATACCTAGCGAGTACATTGTAGATATTTTCAAAATGAGTGCACCGTTATGTATGTAACTTTTGGAAATTTAATTTGCTCGTGTCAAAAACTATACTAAATTGATTGACACGCATATCGTTTAGTACGTATAGTTTGTTTCATTATGTTTCTACACTGAATAAAATAGAGAAAAAATAAAATAAAGCGATTTGAATACATATATGCGTTTATACGTAAACGCATGGTAAAAACTTGGTAAACATTCGCTGAAAAGTTGCCATTTCTGTTTCGGGTCAAACGGCGTGTTTAAAAATTATACTCGTATTGCAATTAAAACCCGAAAACACCGAATTCCGGTTGCTAATATTTCTTGGTGCCGCCCCGTGTGTTATGCGGAAAAAATTAGTAAAATTTTAACAATTATATTTATACTTTTTTACATTGTACGACAACAATACGGGGGTGCACGCGCAACTCTGGCAGAATAATTTTATGTCCGCGCGCACACTATATACATATACACGCGCACGTGCGTACACGCGTGCGCCTAGCTATTATCAAAATGGGTTTTATACGGTTTAACCGCTAATTCGAAAGCTTTTCCGCGGGTAGGCATATGCGAATACGGATACGCATAATACACGTATAATACGCGTACACACGGTGTATACGGTGTAGCGCCGCTGTTTTAAACGATTTCCCAGGGGTTTATTTAGGGACGATGAACGTTAAAACGTCCCTCGCGCAGGCGCACACCGCGCGTTTTAATCGGACCGAAAATATTTGCCGCCGCGTCTTCCACGCTAAAACACGCTATTATATCGTAATACATACGGGCGCCCGTTTTCTCCGCGGTCCCGGCGTGCCTATTTCTCTTCCAATACGACTTTCGATACGGACGCGGTAGTAGTAAACGACATTCGGTTATCGCGCGTTCCGGCCGCCGCATCCGACCTGTGCCGGCTATTGTGCCGCGCGTGCGCGCGTTTAAAGGAACGGCTCACACGCGTGCGTACGGTTACGGCACACGAGAGTATTGCGCGTAGGCGCCGGAAATATTGTAATGCGCTACTGCGCCGGACACGCGTTGGCCAATCGACGTAACCCGTTGTCGACGTGGCAAATACCAATGATTAGAGCCGGGGATCGATAGCGGTTTTTTTTCCGATACGCGTTGCCGATACGAAACCGATAACCGATCCGATATTTCATATTCTCGGACCCGTAACCGGCAAAACGTTCGCAGAACCCGATAGCCGCTATACGCGGCGTATCGAACGTCTTGGATGTTATATCATATAGTTTGTACCGAGACGTAACCACGCGTTCGGCTCGTAACTACCGGCGGATCAGCGATTGCCGGCGATATGAAACGTGATCCGTTACGCGTTTGTTTAACGAGCTACGGACAGTTTAAAAACGTTTCCGGTCCGTCGGCGCGCCTCGAGCCTCGTGGCCACGGTGCGCAGCAGTAACGACGATTTTCAGACAATTATTGTGATAGCACTTTGATATCGAAAAATCAAAACTGTAGTGAACGGAGGTGGCCAATGTTCTATGTTATTTCAGAGCGCGTACACCGTGTTTGAGTAGTTTGTCGGGTGTTTGTTCGGGGTGTCTAAGGCGTTTTCGCTATAACCACCATTGTTGCGTGCAAAATGATACGTGACGTGCGTTGTGCATCGTGTCGTTTTTCTGTCGGTTCGAAAAAAACCGACACCCGATACGCCGACACTGCCAATGTCGGGCCCGGCCTTATAACAATAATGCACAATGTCGAATCAATTCATCCTGATGATTTTTTATTCTTTATCGTTATCCAATGCATGCATAATTCGATTGTATTATATTATATCCACAAAGTTTTTTTACATAGTCATTTGAAGATTTTATTTACCGCAATATTTTCAAAATGTACCCCTATTCTGTGAACACCGTGAACACTTAATGAATATTGATTTTCAAATCGGGTACCGGAGAGGAGTTTATAGAGGGTTACCGTCTAAAACGATATGCATGAAATTGATTACCCCGTCCTGTTACTTTTCCGGTTTAGATTTTAATGTGGTTGTAGCACATAAATACATATTCTGTCTGATATTCGGTGTAATAGTATTATGCATTTGTCTATAATAACTTTCGGAAAAATAAACTATTTTTCAAATCGGCGTTAAGGCAACGGGAATAGAGGAATTCGTTTGAAAACAGTGTTGAAATAAAAACCGAAACGATTCCATATTATTATTGAAATAATCCGAAATAATGTTTACTTGAAGTCCTCCGAGAAAACAGGCGGACCGCGGTGAAAAAAAAATTACTAAAACTCCTGACCCTGCGTGTATAACACAATATTCCACAGTGAATCTATAGCGATATCGTTGTTGCGACCGACGAAGATTTACGAAAATCAATATCAATCGTCGAATACAATTCTGATTTGATGACCGACGAACGAACAAAGAAAATCCCAACCACCCCCCCCCCCCCCCTCCAACTTTACACAACGTACTCAAAAGACACTTACTCAAAATCTCCGTAACGGTTCGAGACGAAATAATCGCGCTGCATTAGATTTTATCCCCGTGTACAGGACGTAGGTAGACACGAGTCGTCGTGACCTCGTTAGGCGGGGTATCGTTTTAAATCGTTTTCGTCAAACGTCGTTTTCGCGGTCGGCGCTTTCGACGCTTTTATTAATTGCCTACTCATAAAATACATTATTATTATTATAATACACCTGCTTTCGTCGAGTTCGATGAATTTTGTTAATTTCAGTTTTTGATGACCACCCCGTATCGTTCCCGGCTTAGCCACTGTAATAATAATAATAATACTAATATAGCGTGCACGTTATATCGCCCGTAATATTATTAAATTACGTAGCGAAAGCGAGCGCGTACCGTTTTTTTTTTTTATCGGCTCGGTTAAATCGCATACGTGTACCCGGCCGAACTGCAATAATATTTTCTACCGAGCTAGGTACGCCGGCCTTGTCACGCGCCGACAACGTCACCGAAACGATACACAATAACGAATAACGGTAATATCACCACCGACCTTTTCGCACTTTACGACGTTACAATACTATCCCCGGTTCACGTACGGGTTTCTGTTTAATT